TAATGAGTGAGTTATCTTTCTTTACTTGATATGATTATATAGCTCAAGCAGCTGTCGGTAAGTTGGTTGGTATTTACGCATCGAATGTGATTAATAGATGTAGCACCAGCATTCTTCCTATTCATCTTTTGTACTTATTTCTTACTCACATCATTTCTTTTTAAAATCTCATTTTACAATATACATATTATAAATAATATTCTTCAGGTTAGAAGATTTCCCTTTGTCCCTCATATTTTTTAATGTTTAGAAATCATGAATGTTTCATGTATCGAAAAGTTTTATGATCTAAATGTGTAATTTCTTGGTTGGTTTTGTATGTTTATAATGTAGATTGTGCGCATTGTTGTCTACAGCTGTCATTGTTTTTTGTATATGCATATAGTTGTCCTACTCCTGTGCTTTATAGTTGGATAAGGTGTTATTTTGGCTTTAATAGTTTATGTGCACTCACGCACACACACTATCATATTAGTAAATAGTATTAATTTGATTACAAAATGTAGCTTTCATTAGTCATTTCCCTTTACCATTGAAGGTATGACATCAGTAATTGAACTGGTTCCATGAATTTATTCATTATGTATTGTAGTGTCAGTGTAATGAATTGGTTAGTGAAATTTTCGACATGTAAATCTATGCACAGAAAATCCAAGTCACTGACTTCTTTAAAGATTTGTTTGAGTATAGACTTCCTCATGTAAGAAGAAGGAGATATTCATGTAGACAGCATTATAATTTGTGCTTTGAGTGTGTACATATCAATTATATACTAGTAATCTCCTGGAAAACCTTTTCTCTTGGTTTTTAGTTACGTCATACTATGACTGCTTGCCTAGAAACGATTTATAGTATTGTTTGTAGGGATTGTTGTTTTTTTCTCTTGTTCCTTTACGTTCCCAGTGGAGCATGGGGTTTCAAGCTTCAGCTTTGGATGGGGTTACTAGTGTCACATATAACCTTCCCTCTTTTCCTCCGGGTTTGCTAATAGCTAGGTTGGGGATTAGGGGTGTGTGTGTGACCCGGAAATCAAACTGTCGCCCACATGGATTGTTGCTGAACATTCCACCGTTAGACCACCGACTCTGTGGAGATTGTATTCGTGTTCGCTTTCTTCAAGTTTATTAGGAAATGTTAGGCATTCACTTGTATACTACCGATCGATTCAGGTGACGGCATACAAGAGAGATTCATTGACTTGTTTTCCCATCAATGGGAAAACTGACTTCGTTACTTACTTGTTTAATTTACTCATGTGCCACTAACTATAATAACTTTATCTCTCTATCTGATTTTGTGTTCCTTTTCCTTGATTCTTCGACGCACAATTATATCTATCCACATATAATGACGTTTGTGGGTGTATGTCTGTAAGGTGTTGGAGTTTGATTTGTATATACTGTTATGCATAGTTGAATTCTAGTTTGTTTGAATAAGCCAGTGATACGTTTCATATTATTTATATAATGTAGCATAATTTATCCTTCATTAGAATAATTTCTTCTTCACCGTATCTATGTGATAAATAAATCTGAATAATCATTCTGATTCTCAATGGTATTAAGTTCGTCTAGTCGTATCGATAAACAAACGTATAATTATTCAGTCGATATTGTGGTTTTCAGTAAATTGTGCTCTGTTAGATTGTATGAATAAAAGCTAACTGATACAACACATGATGTAATAGAGGAAAGTAGGGAGATGAGTATTTAATGTAGCTAAGTAAATCAGTGATCCGACGAATCAGTCGTCACCAAAGTCTACTTCTTTTCTGACTAGCCTGACAGATCAACATACATTTTTAAGCGAATATGCATCGGTTAAACTTGTCAACCAGGAAGTCAGCTCGCATGGAGATTTAAAAGCGGAGAGACATGTGTGTGTGTGTCTGTGTGCATGAAATTTCAGATTCATTTATGCGTTGGTGGCACAGTGGTTGGGCTCTCGCGCGACCATGCACATGGTCCGAGGTTCGATACCCTGCCGATGCACACCTAATATATATGGTCGGCCTGCAAAACTTGGCTACCGATATCCATGCTGAAAATTCCATACTTGTACCAAAAATACAGTGTGGAATCAAGCTGTAAACAAAAATTTCTATATAATAGAGGTTTTTTTGTATTTCCCAATGAATGAAAAAACAAAACGAGATTGTTTTTACAAAAAACCTCTATTATAATGAATATCATATACCTAATGCCCAAATTTTTTCAAACCGTTAAAAGTGAACTTGGTTTGGATATATATAAAAATTTCTATAGTTTGGTTTGTAAGGATTAGTTATGTTTTACGAGTTGATCACGGATTGATATCAGTTAGAGAACCATTGAAAACCAGGGAGTACTGGACAGTTGCTGTTTCATCCATTGAATCGGGTCCCGGTGGCTGAATGGTATACGAGCTTGCCTTGTAACCGGAAGGTCCCGGGTTCGAATCCCAGCGGGTGCGTACTGCCGATGATTCCCAAACTAGGGTGAAACAGCAGCTGTCCAGTACTCCTTGGTTTCCAATGGTTCTCTAACTGATATCAATCCGTGATCAACTCGTAATCAAAAATAAAAAAAAAATAATTAGTTGAGATAGTATGATTTAAGAATATGTATCTAGTTGTTATCCAATCAGTTGTTATTGCTTGTATTTAAAATTAGCTTATCTCACTCAGGGATGTTTAATGTTGTCAGAATCATATATACTTCTGTTTTATGGGCATGCATCAATTAGTTATTTCATAATTTCCTAATACCTTCGTCTCAGTAGTAATGGCTTGCGAGTTATTATTAATAAAAGGCAGTAATTACGATCACATAAGTCAGCGAACATATCTGTTTTCGTAACTACACTCCAAAAGCTATACAATTATTTAGGGGTTCTTTACTGCATGTCTACTCCTCACCTTTTCCACACATCCTCTAACTCATCAAAATTTCAATGATGATAATTTGTTGTGTTGGCAACTTCACTGTGTGCATTTACCGGTTCACTTGCTGCTCCTGTAGAATTATTGTGCAGAAATTGTCTCAGTACTACATTATCTAGATGCGCCTATAAGCACTTACCAATATGGTTGTCAATAGGAAATGCTGAACAGTCAACAGCTCAATTGTGAGGAGGACATTATTATTTCTGGTCACGTAGCATCATCAGAGTCATATAATATAAAGTACGATCCATTCATCCGTCAAAAAAAGATTTCGCCTTCGTCCACTTCATACAGCCGAAGCATTATTTCATTTCATTTTGACATACACTGATTTATTTCGTGCCTAATTAATAATAACCCCTAATGTTTGCCGTAAATTACTGTACATCTTTGAAACGGAATTACGAAAAGCGATCTCTTCATTGATTCATGTGGCCTTGATTACATCTCATGGGATTTTTCCTTCCTTTGAATAAATTGGTAACTAGTTAACGGTTCATGTTAAGTTAAGAAAAGTTAGCTGATGTATACCGATGATACTCAATTCAGATTCTTTTTTACTAGACATACAAAAATACTTAAGCCTTGCACGCATAATGAAATCCTTTTATCAATGTTTGCGTAACACTGTACTTAAATCTAGGCGTATTTGAAGAAATCATCAAATCCAGAAACAGTAATCTACCTTCATATATACATCATTTATGTCAACCATTTGTAATATTATTCTGCAGATTCACAGTTAACGTGGACTATGATGGATTTTCTCGTATCACCCTTTTGCTTTATTCCACTGCTTAACATTCAGTTTAATCTTGAATTCAAATTCTTAAACTTCTTTGTCCGTTATGTATAGCTCTACCGCCTTTGTTGCTGCTAACTTAATCATACTAACTGTTGTTTTAGGACTGATTTTATGTTAGATGTAATATCACTTCACATATTTTTTTTATTTATGTGTTTAAGTGTGTTAATGTCTGCACTTATTTTGATCGGGTGAAAAAATTTAGGCTTTTCAAAAGTTAGTTCTATAGGGATTTCCTTGGTTTCAAGTGTGTGTGTGTGTGTTAGAGAAAACATGGAAAACCGAGGAATACTAGATAGTTGTTTCCTTCTAGTTTGCGACTCATCAGTAGTAGTATGCACCCGCAGGGATTCCAACCCCGCTTCAGTACCTTCAGATCACAAGGCGAGCGGTAGCAGCCTATTCACCCACAGGGAGGGACCCCCAATTTAATACCCCATGAATTCTAATTTTGGCTTCTTTTTTTTAAAGTAGCTTACTTGTCATCATCTATTTTAGTATGAATTAGGCTTTTTGTTAATCAGCAGTTTTACGTATTCTTCACCATTGGATAAAAATAGGCACACTAAATCGCTTATCTCTTCAAAGCCTACATGCATGTATTTATGCAATTAATGCGTAAATATGGCACTGTGAATCAACATAGCCTCCATTATATATAATGTAAACTAATCGCTCACAGAATTCTAGTGAAGTCCCCCCCCTACGTATGTCCTCAATATAGTGTACAATTCTTTATATCGTATGATTTAACTCTCACTATTTTTCTTCTCATTTCATTATACGCTTGATTATTTATTTCTTTTTTCTATGTAGTGTTTTTATTATTATTATTATTTTTCTCCGTTAAAACCATTTACAGTAGACGAAAATAGTCGTTATCACACTGTACTTTATTGTTGTAAGAATTTCACTTTTTCGTAGTGTAGTCTTGTACTGTTTTTTCTTGTGTGTGTGTGTGTGTGTGTGTGTGTGTGTGTGTGTGTGTGTGTGTGCGGTAATTCTTATAGAAGCTTCGTTGTGTTCCTTTGTGTTTCGATGTGTAGGTGTTGGTGTATTTTTTTCTCAAGTGTCTTTTGTCTCATAGTTCATTTGTAAGAAGACTAGAAAAGAAAACCATTGTTTTTCTTTTACTGTCTTTTTTCTTTTACAAAAAAGAATGCCTTTGTTTTTTTCCTTTTTCTGTTGGATGCCAAAAGTTCAGTAATTCTTTTTGTTTTGTTATATTGTATATGTTTTTTTGTCTTTCTTTCTTTCTTTTCTGTTATATAGCATTAAAACAAGCCACTTCGAAGCGTTTTATTCGTCCAATGTCTGCTATTAAATCTATAGATGGTACGATTTTTTTTTGTTTTTTTGTATGCCATTTTTATTATCATTATTAATAAAACTCCTTCAGTTTTTACATTTCTGTCTAATAATGTCCTTCTTACTTTACGGATCAGAGACTTGGCCAGCGCGTCATAAAGACCACCTCAAACAAACTTCAGACCTTCATTAACAGTTGTCTTCGCTCAATACCACTCAAGATCAGATGGCTGGCCGGAAAAGATCAGCAACAAAGTGGAATCTCTGGGAGCAAACCAACTCAGCAGGAACCGATTGTGAAACATATAGGCAGGAAGAAATGGAGGTGGATTGGCCATACTCTGAGAAATGAAACCATCATGTGACATCACTAGACAAGCCATTGCTCGAGTGGAACGAGGCCGAAAGGGAAGTGGCGAGTTGTTCGTCAGTGGGAGGTTGGGGTGACTTGGAGGAGGTCAATTGAAGAGGCGATGAAAGCATGTGTGGGCAGACTTGGAGTGGGGTGAAAAAGTTGGCAGAGAACCGAAGGCAATGGAGACGCTTGGTTGAAGCCCTATGTTCCTGTAGAAATTAAAGGATATAATAATGTACTCTCTTATGGGCATCTGAGCTGAAGAGTAGTAGTATCCCAGTCGTTGCATAAACTATGCGATCTTGTATGGTGTATCTCTTTCGGTGTTACCCAACATGAACAAGCACCGAACAGTGAGTGTATAAATGCAAGAAATTTGATTGCGGTCATTTCCTTCATTCATGTCATGTAGACGACATCGGAACGGAAGAGAGGATGTCAAAAACGAGAGTGTTGAAAAGGCAAGACAGACCTTCATATCTCTCTGAAATCAGTTTTGGAAATCTTCTGTACTCAGCGTGAAGAACAAGGTTGGGGATTTTCAAACACTAGTGTTATATGACACTCCTTCTCTATATGGGTCAGAAACCTATTACTCAACAAATACGTAGAAGAAAATAAATATACGGACCCGTTACACACTAAGTAGACCGTTGGATGATATCGTACACAATGCCCTTGAGTGGGGAACGACGAGTTGGGCATATGTCTGAATGTCCGAATGGAGGAGATCGTGTGTGGTGGAGATTAAAGCTATGAGCGGTTTTGGGGGCTAGCTAAAGAGGGCTGCAGAGAAGAAGATAAAATGGAGGGTGTGTTGTTGAAGCTCTGTGTTTCACTTGGAACCCCAAGGGCATAGTAATAATAATGATAACCTCTAGACGTCTATAATATAGTAAGTCTGTTTTAATAAATAATAATTATAATTCTCTACTAGAACGGAACTTGCTGCTGCATTTATCATCGACTTAAACATGGCCAAGAATACTTGCAGTCAATAATATTCGGTTGTTTCAGTCATTTAGAAAAATTTTTTATGTGTAGTTGGATGTCTCATAGGGTATCGGCTTCGTCGATGACGTTAGATTTCCCGTAGTTGTATCTGTTGAAAGATGACATATACAAGAGATGATAATGGGACATTTCAGAGTGCACAATTTTCCGAACAGTTACCGTATAACTATATGTTCAATTTATTTTTCTGAAATTACTGTTAATATGCCATTATTGGAATCCATATGAGATGCAGATTGTCTATCACCTGTCTGTTGCGATTCTTTATAAAAATGAATAAACAGCGTTATTTTTAAACGAAAATTCTTACTGAAACAAAGTGATCTCTGTTGCGTAACAGTCTTCTCGGTGAATTCTGCTGTACTATTTGTAACACGAAACTATGTGAACAAACTAACCAACAACCTACCGTTCAACAAATATGCAGGAAAAGATGGAGATGGACTGAGCATACGCAGAGAAGACCGTTGAGTGACATCGCGCACCAGGCCACTGCTCGAGTCAAACCCGAATAGGAAGTGACAAGTGGGTCGTCCACTATCGATATGGAGGAAGAGGTCGTGCGGGGAGGAGATGAAAGACTATAGGCAATTGTGGTCCCGGCTGAGGAGGACAACAGAAGCCCTATGTCAGGGAACATAACCCTAATTTCTTATTATTTAAGAAGACTCCGAATCGATAATTACTATGTACTTTTCTCGACTTTAACTCCAAAACACTAGTACTTGTTAGAAAGTTATATCGTTTGGCAATTAAACTATAGATAGTTACAAGTCTATAAACAAATGTTTACAAGTAAATACAGTGTACTTTTATTGGTATTCGGTCGTCTTCTTCCAACTTGTACACGATTGAACCATTCACGCCTTCGAGTTGCCCGCCAAGGTCAGTAAACAAACGTTCAGTGTTCGCGTCCATTGACACCCCATGTTCCACTCGGAACCTAAGGGATCAACAATAATAATAATAATTGTAACTACTTATACCAAATAATCGGTCAGATATTGTTGATTTCATAGAGCAGCTGTTAAGAATCGGCCTTGTGTCCCAATAATTGTTATCTGGATTCATCAGCGTCGTCAAACCCACAATACTCGCTACCTACAATTATGTACAGTTTAGGTTTCTGTGATTATTTGTTCACATTTTGTTTTAAAGATTAGATTTGCAAGTTTACCATTGGTTGATTAACCGATATTTCTTTTCTATCTGTACTTCTCTTTTTTGTTCTTATGTATTCGTGGCGTTTTGGAAACTCGCTTTCTCCGTGAAGAAGCTGTTGATCTAGCTGAAAAGTAAGTTCAATATTTATTCAGCATTATATTGGTTGGTCATGTCTTGATCTATTGAATCATATTTACCTGTATATGATTTTCCCTCAGCAGTTTAAAAGCTGGATTATTTCTTCTTCTGTGAAATTTAAGTCTTCATTAAGCTAACAGTTTTTCCTATTGCCTTGATAATTTCTGGTTCTTTTTGACTTGACACTAGTGACTAGTGTGATGTGTGTCTAGTCATTTCTTTGGTGCAGACTGAATTCTACAGTCAGGTTTGTAATGTGGCCGCCATTCTAGGTAGCTAGTCATCACGGTGCACATTGATTTGATGATATTAGATGGTTGGAGGCAATCGGCCACAGGAAGCCTTGGACCTAGGTTTCGTGCTAGTTGGCAGTACAGGAGGTCAATCGCGAGCCCGAATACCTCAATGGTAACGTCTCTGACTGCTGCCCTCACTAGGTGACACTGGTTCAAATCTCAGAAGAGGCATGAGTTCCTTCAAGGTTTCAGATACGCCTTGCTGACTGGTGAGTGCCAACTAGCACGAAACCTAGGTGCACGGCTTCCTACCAATTGCCTCCAACCAACTAATTTCTGGTTCTATCTACAGAAGAGTGATTAGTTCCAGTGTAACATGACTGACTGAGTTATGATATATCGACCTTTCCGAATTATATTCAATGGTAATTGTGCACCTTTTTGTCATGTTAACTGATCCCCGTCTGTCTGGAAACTTAGAACAATTCAGCTGCTTATATCAACACATATGTATTTATAAGGTTTGTTGTGTTTTATCGATTGATAAATCTTATGATCAATCATTGGAGTTTGCATTCATGTGACCAAGATAATTATGAGTTTTTAGATTCAGAAACGTGTCTCTATTTTTAGTAAACATCTTTACTAAACTCTTTAGATAGTGATGATGATGACAATGATGAGTTTTTGCTTCATACTGGTGCTTTGCTAATTCCTGGAAAAACTCACATGTCATCATAGATATACTGGATTTTCATAAACTCTTAAAATCCGCCTCGTTTATTGATACTTTGTGCTGTTGTGTGTATTACTGTTAGCCTTCATTTACAATGTTGAGATTTTTACATTACTTTATTTTAATGGAGATGATTTAAGAAATTATGTGTGAAAATAATTTCTCTTGACTTTGTTTCAATATATATATATATATATACTGTTTGATTTTCGTTTTCTTTTTCAGGGGAACTACCTACGAAAGTGCTAAACCGTCAGGTGAGATTTAGTTATTTCTCACACAATTAAGTAATTACTACTTTTTTAATCTAAGGCAAAAGGATTATTTCTCTCTTCCGATCATACCATTTGCATGCTAGTTTATACCGTCTTTCGGTTAGAGGCAACACATCAATCAGATTGAAAACATGCACATGTTATTTATACATATTTTTCTGTGATAGAAAACGAGACAAAGCTGATCGCTTAGGGACGTTTTGATAAATTATTGAATGTATTGAATACATTCATCTTATTAAGGCACTTTACGGAAGTCGTAGACAACTCCATCAGATATTTGGCTCAGTTTTTAAGGTACTGGGAAAAACTTAGCTATAGTAACAACAACTAATATAGCGTCTGAAATTCTAGTACGTATCCTCATAAGAAGACTGACTACAGCTCGGAAAAGAACATGGAGGAGTCAAACAGGATTCGGACTCGGAATTGGGCTGATTAACGGATTCTCGATTGTCTAACAAGTTGTGGAGCACACAAATCTAACACTTCGTATCCATCGGTCTGATTCTAGGAATCACTCTGTTAGTAGTGTTGCTGCGATCTGTGAGCGTTCAGTTATAAAAAAAAGATTACAGAGAAAGTGTTTTGTGCCAGCCAACATAGTTATGTGAGATAATCGTTATATAAATTAATGACACCTAGTGATGTCTGACAGAGGATTGTTCAGTTTTGCTGTTCTGATGAATGTTACTCTGGCTGAATACCAGAGAGAGTGGGAGAGCTCTTCGAAGAGAGCATATAGTCAATTTTTTGGTGAAGACATCAACAAAATACAAATTGTCTTCTGAAAACCCTGAGCATAAAAATAGAATGATATGTTTAAAACGGAGTGCTATGTGAGGCCATCATATCTCACTCAATAGAGGCATGTAGACTTTTAGACAGGTAGTTTTGAAGCCGACAGTGACAAAATATCGCCATATATATATATATAACCGAGTCATTAATTTTGTCGAAAAAAAGCAATTTGGAATTAAGCTGCATAGAAAGCTTATTCAGGAAGTACGTCAAGGCAGTCAGTTTATATTTTCATTAGGTTTGATACTTTTGAGAATGAAACACTGAAGGTAGCTTGGCCACAGGATTTCATCATGAGCTGACATTGGTTAAAGAACCATTGGAAAACCTGGGAGTACTGGACAGCTGTTTCATCCTAGTTTGGGAGTCTTCAACAGTACGCACCCACCGGGGTTCAAATCCAGGACCTTCCGGTTACAAGGCGAGCTCGCATACCATTAAGCCATTGGGACCCGATCCAATGGCCCATGAATTCTAACCTCTGCAATTCACGATATAGCGCAACCGTCAGTCAATGCCTTCGGAGAGTATTTGTCCTCAGACCCGACCTGCTGCAACCTACTGGTCACGACTTTCCACTGGTAACCCCCCCTGGTTCTGTAACCAATATCAGCTCATGATGAAATCCTCTAACCAATCAACCCAATCCCTACAAACCAATACTTGAATACTGAAGGTAGCTATTTTAAATGATAGAATGGCCTTGTAGCTTACAAAGTTAGTACCATATTTTACTCAACTGACATCTTTTTGAACAATTTGATATCGACTGGACTATGAATTTGCATCACTCAAGTTTTATTAAACTTATCGAATTTGCATGTCACCGAAGGTTGCACTTCTGGTTGAATTTTTTTGATGATGATGACGATAGAGTTGACGTTTATTGATTTTGTTATGTGAACATCACAAATTCAATGTAATGATCTCTTTATTTTTCTGTTTCATGTACATGGTTTGTTTACTCATCTTCATTTCTGTGTGGCTTTTATACTGCTTCATTTAATGCTATTTTTGACGGCGTTTGTGTGCGCGCGCTGTTAACGTTTCTTACCTAATCATTATTTTTTATGGAATTCCTGTCTACATTTGAACGACATTTCACCTATATGCACTTACGTTAAATCATTGTAAATTACTCCAAGATGTTTCACATTTGTATAGATCAGACTGGAACAGTTCGTCTCAAACGCTCCTCTACAATGCATCGTCTTATGATGTCAGCATTCCGAAATACCCTATGTGGGTATCATCCGAAGCGCAAAGTTATAACGGCACCTACAATAGAAAAGAGTCGTATCCTAGTTCACCATCGAAACAGTCTCATGCGATTAGAAGTAAAATGGGATCCTATTCCAACTACTTGTCAGTCTACAAAATGCCGAACAGGTACCGTAGTACGGGCGAACTCAATCGAGGGTCCTCCACTCCAGACTCCTCCATCTGTACCGTGTCGTCTGACATTGGTCAAGGATCAGTCTCAGGAAATTATTACAGTAGAAGATTCAGACCACAATCAGGGTATAGATCAAATGCTGTGATATATACAAACATCAATAATCAACGTTATCCTCATTTATACGATATGTTGGCAGCTGATCTAGAACGTACACCGAGTCAAATTAGTTTTAGTACCTCAAGTTCAAGTGATAATAATTCTCATATTCATAGAAGCAGAAGTAGTGATATTCGTGATATTTTACGTAGTGAATCTACCTCATATAATGATGAGTATCATTTATGTCAAACGGCTAGTCACAACTTCAAACAAATGCTACTAGCGAAAATAATATTGCAATAACGATAACAAGTGATTCATCTGGTAATGCACCCTTAAATCCACTGGTTGATAATGATAATTCTCAGGTAACAGTAACATCAACCACTATTAATAATAATAATAACAGCAATAATGATTCAAGCTTACAAGGCATTAAGAAACGACCTAATCGTATTGGTAAAATTGATTATGCTTCATTAGAAAGATTTATGAATGATGCTTCATCAACTCTTTCTTCACCACTTTATGATCCTTATGGAATGTCATCTAAAATTGCTAGTTGGTCATCTAGTCATCATCCTTATAGTCGTCGTCAAATTATTGACAAAAGATGTACAAGTCCTTCTTCGACAAAATCAGCTAGAAGTATGCCACCAATACCTGTTTTTAGTGAATCATTCTTAAAGAAACGTAAACTTCGAAATCAATATAAATCGGCAAATAAAATGAAATCTATAAATAATAATGTGTAAATAGTCTATATAATGATACCTATGACACTCCGTATGTATGCGTGTATGTGTAATGAATGAAAAAGATCAGAAGAAATGTGTGCCGATGCAAACTACTTGTCTTCTTGTTCCCTGAGTGTGCGCCATTAATATAATAATACTACTCGGTGAGCCGTAGGGAAATAATGCTCATTTAGTTGCTTTTTTCGCCTGGTGACAGTCATACTTTTTTTTCTCTCATTTCACCGGTGTGCGTTGTGTGTGTGTGTGTTTGTATTCGCTAAATTTATTTCCTGCTGTCGTGTTTGTTATCGCCTAAAGGTATTGTATCTCGCATACTTTTGGGTAAAAGGGAAACGTTAAGCCTAGTAAAATAACTCGTTTCTCATTTCTGTATGACAGTTTTAATCATCCGTCTGTTGTATATTATGCTGTGGATACCTTCGGTCGTTGGATTCTTTTTTTTAAATTTTTTTGCTGAATAGCCTCTAACATCTCTCTTCTTTGGTTGGCTGGCTGGTTGGATAACTTTGTTTGTTTTGCTATTTCATAGATTTCGTTCATACAAACTAATTTGGATTTTGTTTTCACTGTCATCATTGTGTTTTTTTAAGTACTACTACTATTATACACATATAACTGACATAACTGTCTAGAAGGCTTTTATTTTTAAAAAAATAATCATTTTCCTTACTTGCTGTGCAAGCTAGTCCGCATTTATCTCATCTTAACTGTTAACTGTTAAAATAGCTTTAAGCAAAGCTGTTTGCTCTGTAAACATACACTTTAGTGGTGTGTGTGTGTGTTTTGTTTTACTCAAAACACTCACTCAAACATGCATTTTTGTGGACTGATTATATCGGGCAGGAGTTGAACTCAATGCCTCGTGGTGTCAGATAACTGCTTGACCAATTACATATCCCCCCTCCTCCCCGACAAAACATTAACTTAGTTGTCTACAAACAAACGACACAGTATCCTCACGTTCAATACCACAACTTAGATATCATACCGACTCCCTACATCCCGAAATCCAGAACATATTTATTTTTATAGTCATCGCTCTGGCTTAATACCAGAATATATGTTCCAGTCCAAAGAGACACCACAGACTTGATTGATCATCCACACTGTTATACGCTTAGTGTGTCTTGTCTTAATCTGAGTTACTGAGTTGTTCTATTCGTGGAATGCGATTCAGCGTAAATGAAATGATCAAGTGCGCCGGTGGCATAGTGGTTAGGACGACCACCAACCATGCATATGGTCCGGATTTCGATCCCCGGCCACCGGACGCACTCCTTTACCTCGCTAAGCCAGAAACAATGCTGGTAAAAGAGGAAAGGTTGGGTATGAGGCTAGCAACCCTATCCTGTAAAATATGAACACTGCTACAGAAACTTCAAGCCTCTAGCTTGAAGCTCTATGTTCCACTGGGGGACGTGAAGGAGAAAAAACAATGATCAGGGTAACAGAAGTGTGAATTATGCAGCAAAATACGCTACATATAGGCAGGCATAAGACAGGTGTTACCATTATAGGTTAACCAAAATATCATCTGCAGGTTATCTCGTATATATATATATATATATATATATATTCATGCCAACTTTTGATGCTAGGCTGAATTTATTTATTATTAGTATGAAACAACTAGTGAATACACAATCGATCCTCTGATATGTAGAACAAATATCTGTTTTGGAATATATTTGTTAAGCTAACATCTCACTGCTTTCATACATGGATAGATGAATGTGTTTCTCACTTAACCACATACACATATTATGTATGTATATAGTGTATTTATACGCTTGTATGTGTGGTTTATATTCAGCTCTATCTAACCTCATTTGTGTGTTCACCCAGTTTATTTGGTTTGTGTGTGTGTGAACCCATTTGTGTGTATATCTGTACCAATTCTATTTCTTTTTTTCATTTTATTTTACTCTAGATACCCGTCGATATTAATAAAGAAAGCATCAATTATCACAGTTCTACTTTATTACTATTATTATTATTGTTGTGTGAAAGTGAACAAGTTGTTCGTTTGGATACGAATATTATAGTACGTCGTTTGTTGTGTTATCATGGTTACTGCCAGCAAATGTTCACTTTTTCTCTCCTTTTTTCTCTCTCTCTCTCGCGCGCGTTATTTCCTTATTCATGCAATATACATATACACATGCATATATATATATTTAACAGCAACACATAAATGAGCATTACATCACACCATTTCTTCCTGTTATTCTTGTTTATTATTATTATTTGTACATATAGACACACCCATACAATGAAAAAAGGATACATTCTTCTCACCCTTATCTATATTTAACAATAATAATATTATTATTATTATATAGGTCAATATGATATTAAGTTTTTGATTCTTAATTAATTTCGTTTCACGGCTTCTCCCCCCGTCCCCACACGCACTGCAGTTGGAATCTCTTGCCGTGTCTTTCTTTTTTCTTATTTTTTTTGTAGACATTCCATATCTCCGTTACTATTCTCTTTTATCCCCCGTCTCTTCTAATATATTATACGTATTTACTTATGAAAACTGTTATTATTATTATTTAGCATTAGCAATATGAATATTATCTCTGTAGTATCTTTCTTTTTTTGCTTCCGGTACTCCCTGTTATTTCTCCTTCTTTCTTTTTTTCTCATTCTCTGTCCTCTTTACTTTTCTGTTTTCCTCTAAAAATAATACTAATATGTGCATCGGTGTATGGTAATCTTGCAGCTGCTCATTTACAATTCAGTGTGAATTTCAGCATTGACTTTATTACACAATTGACTCAATTTCTCAACTTTAATATCTTGCGTCAGTGATGCTCATTATATGAGATGATTTGCTTTTATTCAACAATAGCACTATAAAAAACAGGGATAGTAATTACTACTAATACTACTACTATTATTGTTATTCGTATTGGTACTATTTCAGTGATAATGATCTGCGCACAGTGTGTACATGAGAGAATATATTTTGAAAAAAAAATAGTAGGGTATACATCTATCTGTCAGTTGGAATATCTGTTTATTTTTTTGGGGGTGGGGGTGGGGGTCTTATCTTCAATGTGTTTTGTCGTCTTCTTGGTTTGTTTCAGTAATACTATGCTTGTTCTTGTTCTTCTTCTTACTATTATTTATGATGATATTGTTCTAAATATATATATACTCATACAAATATGCACACAAATCCTGCAACAAGTTATTTGCTCTTTCCTTCACATTCCTCGATCATATTTTTTATTCACTTTCTCCGCATTATAAGATAGTAGTATGATACATGCGTGTATTGTTGACTGACCCCTCCCCCACCTTAGTTTACCTCATCTTTCTCCGTTGACTAGTAGACAAAAAAAAGGCAGAAGGATAATCATTCTAAAGACATACGTGGCGTTGTCTCTTTCTGAATTCCCTCTTAAACCTTTTTTGTGACTTGCATTGCAACAATCTTCACATTCTACTTTCCGTGTTTGTGTGTGCTCACTAGTGTCATGTTAATAGCGATACTGTGAATGGAAAACAAAAAAGGAAGGACAGGAAATTCTCACTTTCCTACTTTCTTTTTACTCTTGTCTTTCATCTATATTATGAGATAATTACGAATAATTAATCTCTACATCTCTGTTCAAAAATGTGTGGTTTCTTTTGGTTTTCTGTCTCCCTCTCTCTCTGTGTGTGTGTTCTCTTTCCTCTATGTATGGTATGTGGTATCTTTCTGATGCGATTATTACTATCATTATTCTTATTTCAAGTTACTGCTGTTTTGTTTTGAATGAACCGATATTCTCTTGTTATACTATTACCTTTCTTCTGTCTCTCCACGTTTTACCCGTTCCCACTTTAACCTGTTAAACACAAGGTAATGATGAGAGCAGTGTTTCTTTTTTTGTTTTCATTATTGACAGGAATATACTCATATATATATACAGGGAGAGAGAGCGAGTGGGGACGGGAAATGAAACACCAGTTGTCGTGAACTTCTAGTGAACACTTATATCGTACGCCAACAGATAACTGTTTCTGTGCAAGTGTCAGTTTTGCTTTTGTTTCTCCTGTCTATTCTTCAGCATATTCTCTTCAGGTTTGTTTTTAGTGTGTTTTCGTTTTGTTTTGTCCTTTTTCTCTATTTCTAACTGTATATATATGAGGTCTAGTTACTTCTTTATCTGCATAACAAATTATCTATTGAATAGAATAATTTGTACTCCATTTTCAATGTGTTAAAATATCCTATCTACTACTGGGATTCGGCTTTCTTTCTTATTACTGTCTTTTTTGTTTTTGTCAAGTATGTTATGTGTGTGTGTGTTATTTTATTATCCCGTTATCCTCAAAACTGCTGCTGTTGAGATTGCTATCAATACACTGTCTCTTCAACGTTTAATAGATTATTTCCTATCCTACTGTACTTATTTATTCCTTCTAATTGTCTTTTCTTTCCCTTCTGCCTCCCCCCTCCCCGCCGGGGGCCCTCGCCGCTACCATTTCTATGCATATATATACATAACCACACACGTCACCTACATTTTCTCCATTCGCCTCAATCTTCATTTTTCGTCTATCTCTCACAACATGAAAAAATGAAAGAAAAAAGAATCTTCATTTCTCAAAGACGTCAAGTAACTTATACGGCGCCTAAGCTATGTCTCTCTCCCTCTCTCTGTGTGTGTATGCATGGTTGCGAGAGAAAATTTCCTATTGACGAAGTCATGTGATTTATTGTATCACGCATTGTCTTTAATGTTTACATGTTTATATCTATAAACTGATGATGACTTATCTTCCTTTCGTTTATTTCAATATTCTTCTTATATGCCCAATTGCATATTGCACTACTGTTATTATTATTATTTGTGTTATAATTATCAGTGACATTTTTCTTGCTTCGAAAGAAAAAAAGATAATAAAATAAAATTAGAGGAAAAATAAAATTAATTAATGTTTAATTGTATAGCGTTCGTTATTTTAGGTTTGTTTAGTCATTGTTGTTTTGACTACCA